CACAGTAAGAGCATAAGTTTCCAGGTTGAAGGCGGTCCCGGTCGGGGTTGGCTTGATGCGCCTTCCTCTTGGCCCGTTTCTCTCTTTTGCCCTCCATTCGTGCCTCTTCAAATTCTGCAGCACTGCTGGTCACYGCTGACCTCCAACTGAAGCGTTCATGAGCCAGGGCTTCCCAGTTCTCAGTGTCTATGCCAGAGTTTTTAAGGTTGGCTTTGAGCCCGTCTTTAAATCTCTTTTCCTGTCCACTAGTTACATTTTCTATTCTTGATTTCGGAGTAGAGCAACTGCTTTGGGAGACGGTGGTCGGGCATCCGGACAACATGACCAGTATAGCAGAGTTGATGGCGGAGGGCCATCGCTTCAATGCTGGTGGTCTTTGCTTCTTCCAGCACGCTGACATTTGTCTGCCTGTCTTCCAAAGAGATTTGCAGGATTTTTCAGAGGTAGTGCTGATGGAGTCGTTCCAGGAGTTGCATGTGACGTTTGTAGATAGTCCACGTCTCACAGGCATACAGCAGGGTTGGGAGGACAATAGCTTTATAAACAAGCATCTTGGTATCCCTAAGGATGTCAGGTGACTTTATAGAATAGCAAGTAGCGAAAACAGGTAGTGCCAAAGCAAATTTCTGAGCATAGTTAGTAGGTTGGACACTTTCTCACAAAGAAAAGAAATTGTTGATGCATAGTACCCCTGAATGAATAAATGAAATTTATTAAGATCAACAAATCAGACAATCTGTATGCCTAAATATCTCTAGTCCTTTATATTTCCCAATTCAGAGACTAGAAACCAAGGAGACTGAAATTCTAAAGTTTAACTAACTTTGGATCATGGGGTTTATAGTATCAAATTGACACAAACATGGACATGTGCGCACATGAAATCCAGTAGCAGTTGGGATTAGGCAAYGGAAGAACTTCCCCATTATCCTCCCTGAAAACCTGTTGTCTCAGTCCGTCTTCTTATGCTCTATTCCCTCCTCATTGATGACGTAGACCAGGGGTCCCCAAAGTTTTTAAACAGGGGGCCAGATTACTGTCCCTCTGACCATTGGAGGGCCGGACTATCGTTTTTT